GACAGATGCTCTCCTCACCATAATCACTATAACCCATGTAGTGGCAGTGGTGTTTCAAGTTTCTCTCAGGCTACACACACATCTTACATTTTCTCCCATGAAGAAATTCCAAAATTCCCAGTACATTCAGCTCTCACTCTCTACTGAAAGCCCACTTTATTTATTCCATGAAATAAATACATACCTAACTCAGCCTAACTCAGTCTTTCACACTTGTCTCAGGGCAGCCTGCTTGGCACCTTGCATTGTCATTCAGATCTGAGCCAAGTAAGTGTAAAATGGTATTGGAGAATGGCAGCATATTCCACCTACTTTGTACAACTGCATTTGTTGCAAGGTGAAAAAGAATCAACCCAAACTAGCACAGCAGCCCACAGGATCCAGATGGAGGAAGGTGCAATGTGAATATGGAAATGTGGAAAGTTTCTTTTCACATCAACTAATAGGACAGACATATTGTATATTTTTATTTATTAACACTGTCCATCATCCACTATGGACATTTCTACAGCATAATTTTGTAAAGGTAACAAAATCTAATAATAGAATATCACTCCACTCTTCCTCTTCTGACCCGTTGCTAACCAAAGAGGAAAGGTTTCTTGGGTTTGTATGCAAATAGTATGTAGTTTAGCAGGATGAACAAATGAAGGAGTTTACTGTATTACAAGAAAAATTGCTAAACTAGACAATAAAGAAAGAGTTTTATGACAAGGATCTTACAACTTTGTCTTAGATATGATGATCTATACTTTAGATATGACAATCTATATTTGAGGAATGTAGGACTAAAAGGGGTTTCCTAGGCCATCAAGTCCAGTCACCTGTGTTTGCAAATAATTATTAACTAAATGAATCCTCAAGATCAGAACTTCAAGTCTTCATCCACAACTACAAGGATCAGTGGAGATCTCATTCAAGACCAAGGCTCATAGGCAGATGCATAACATGTGAAAAAATGCGCCTGGGGCAGTCCTCTCTCACCCCTTCCCCACACCCTACCTCTACCAGGCATGTAGGGTTGATGACCACATAAAAAAGAAACTCTGGCTATAAAGAGACTCTGGCTTGACCACAGTTTTCCCATCTCATCCTGATGTGATTGTGATCGCTAATGATTATTTATATTCTCTTAGTGGTTATGAAGAGTAGCACAGCATGAAGTGGGCAAGCAGGTCATGTGCCCTGAGGGATTGGAGGCAGGGGTACCCTCCAATCTCCAGTTCTGCCTTCAGGCTGTAGGAAGCAGTAGCATAGGCAGGATGTGTCACAGGCTACAAGGCATTCTGGGCATTGTAGTTTTGTAGAGCAACAGTAGAGTTTGTTACTGCTTGGGAGGAGAATGAACTCCCTTTTTTGCCCCATTTTTTGACCCCTTGGCCCAGGCTTCAGTGGCAAAATGCGAGGTTAAAATTTGCCCTCCCCTTGGCAACAAGCTCTACTGCTGCTCTAGGAAATTGCAATTCCCAGAAAAATTTGCACGTCTGCTATGCTCCTTTCTGCATGGAAGCCAGAAGGTACATATGCAGTGTTGCCAGATATACAATAATTATCATATTTGTACAATAATTGCAGCCTGTGTAAAATGTACTATCAATCATAGTAAAAGTGCTCAAAATATACAATAATTCTGAGGTAACTAATTGATGCAACATACGCAAAGCCCAAGTCACTCTGTGGGGGTAGAGACAGATGTTACACATAAACTGGGTTAAGTGATCAGAAACTGGTTTAAAACAGTAAAAGAATAAACCACATACACTATTTTAGAAATGGTTGAAACTGGTTTAAGATAAACCTGATTGAATGTAGTATCAAACTGATTTAGGTCAAACTGGTTTATGAAGCTTCTCTCCCAGACCTCTTCCTGGTTCATGTTAAATCACAGTCTCCCAGCATCCCAACATTTTGCAGCCTTGGGCTGGGCTGGCCCTGCCCCTCTGCTCCCTAGTTGGACCAGTGATGAGTTGGCTCAGCCTCACTGGCTGACTTATTGCCCACCCAGACAAACCTCTGCTGGGGTCTGGGACCAGGAAAGGGGGTTAAACTTCCCTTCTACTGAGTACAGACCTGCTCTGCCTTGCCCTGCTGGCTTACTTAGTGCTGGCTGTGGCTGTGGACTATAAATCCCAGAGGCACCTGGAAGTAGGAAGATGAAGTGATAAGCAACCCTGTAGAGTCCTGCAGCTGTGATTCTGGACTGCAAATCCCAGAAATCTCAGGGGCAGCAAAAAGAAGAAGCAAGCTTATGCTGGCTACATGCCACTAGTGCCCCCTGGCTTCTGGCTTGAACTATTACAGGCATATGGCTGCATGTCCTGAATCAAAAGTGAATGTCTGTTCATTTGCTTATTGATTCAATCTTTGTAGCTTAGACTAACCTGCAAAGACTGAATCAATTCAGCCTTGGGCTTTTTGATTGTCTTTACTTAGCCAGAGAGTCTTAATTGATTTTGGGGTTTGCTATCAGCACTTTCTTATGCCTGCTTGCCTTGAAATAAACAAATGCTTCAACTTTGATGACCCAGGTCATATTTAAGACCTGTTAAGCAAGTACTAAAATTAAGTACTTCATTAAGCAAGTACTAAAATAAATGCACAATAATGAATGTGTAGACACACCCTGCCTCATGGGACTTGAACCCACATCTCTCAAGAGAATGCCTTAACCACCAAGCTATAGGAGACCTGAGGTTGACCAGCCTTTGGTTTCACCTGATGAAACTGTTCCATAGTGTATTGACTAAATATTCATTGGAGCAGGGACTAAAAACCAGGTTTCTCTTATCCCAGGTACTTACTCCAAACTGCTAGGTCAGGGCACTCCAGCTGGCAGCTAGTGAGCCACCACCCAGGCACAGCTTCCCCAGTTGCTCCTGCTGTTGCAGTGGCTGCGATCTCTGGGTTCCTGCTTTTTCCTCCAACTTCCATTTCCTGTCCCTGTCCCTGTCCCTGTCCCTGCCCCTGTCCCTAGGGTGGCACAGGAGCAGGAAGTCCCCAAGGGCCCGAGGCAGGGGAACCCAGGGGTGCAACAGGAGATTCTGGGACCCATGGCTTGTGTAGTGGGGAGGCCCAGGAGGCCCACAGGTTGCTGGCTGCTCAGAAAATGGATTGCTCAATAGTCCATGTGCTAGGCAATAGTCATTTTACCTGTCTCTTTCTGGCTCAGTATCTTAATGGAGAAGTTAGGCATTTATGGATCCCGCCCAAAGAGTCCGTGCCTGTCATATTGAAAGAAAGAAACAACCCCCCTTCCCCCAAAACTGATGTTGTAGCTTAAATAGGGTAAATGGACACTTATTTAATATATATTTAAGTTATGTACCTAGGCTTTGTATGTAATGAAGAAACCTATGGCCCTTACCCTGGACTAAACAACAAAGGTTGCTTTAAAATGACAGCATCACCAACCAATGATGCTTTAAAGAAAAAGAAACAAAACAAAACCTCAGTTCAGCTAGCCAGTATAAGAATCTTACCCTAAGTTTGAGTAGCCTGCTTTAAAACAGCTCTTCTTTTCAAGCTTCCTTCTCCAGAGCTTTTGATTTTACACTACTTCCTGGACCTCATTCCCATTTACTACCTTGCTGAACACTGCGTGTGGAAATTGGCTTTTCCAGTTATTAGTAGCTCAAAAACTAGATTGTGCATGTGTCTAGAAAAGTCATAAGAAAAGGACAAAGTTACATTAGGTTAAGCAAGGGCATAATTTTAAATGTATTTAATTATATCAAAAATTCATCAATATAGATTAGGTTAATATTATTTAAGTCCCCTTCAAACACTTAAGGGAGTAAGATTTAAGCAGGCATTTAAATTACCCGTCAAGAATATCCAAACAGAGTTTTGCACCATTTCATTATATTAAATTTGTGTAATTTCTGTGTTTGTATAATGTTCCAGGTTTATAAAAAGAAAGGGTTCTGTAGCAGTTAACAGCAAAGAAAGTACTTTCTTCTGCAGCCCATGCCAAGTTGATTCAATCACGTATTCATACAACATAACTAGGAAAACCCCAAAATAGAAAGTGAACTAATTTCTGAGGCGGCAAAGGAAGGGACAATAAAGGTTCTTACACAGGCTGCTGTGTTGCACTATAGTTCTGATAAAGTCTTTTTGTTTAAAAGGGAAAACAAAAAGTCTCCCCCCTTGCTCCTTTCTTCAAGGTTACTTGCTTTTGCACATGCAAGTTCACACCCTAAGGAGAATGGAGCAGTTCGTTTTTTTGTGGAAGTTGCTTATTAAAATATTCCTGTTTCTCCCTGCTCTTTCCCTGTCATCCTTGTAAGTTCCAGCGAAGGTTATAAATCAGTCCTTTAGTAGAGCAGATGGACTTTGTCCACATTATTTTTCTCACTTGCTATGTGCCCAAGGGCTCAATCCTGCAGTAATTAAAATCAATAGACCAAACTCCCCTGTACACCAGTGGATGAACTATCAAGCTCTAACACTGCATAGCTTGGTTTGTGACTTCTAAATTACATCTATTCCAAGTTGTTGCATGTTTGGGAGTTTTCAAGGAGTTGCATGGGGGGGGGAATGAGTGTAGCAGGTGATGTCCCTGGAGGGACTTTGATAAGGACTTCAGAAAGGTATGCTGAGACTGGGAGTGGAAAGAGCAAAAATTGCAAAGGCTTCAAGAAGGCTGTGAAGTGGCTGCAGGTGAATTCAAGGAGAAAATGCTGTAGAAGGAATGCTGCAGTTTGGATAAGGGGGGGGGAGTGTCTGGGAATTATCCGTAGAGGAAAAAATGTCACCATTGCTTAATCAATATCACTAAAAATCAGTTTGGTTTTGGAAGCTGTTATTTGACACCTGTTGTCACTGTGCATATGAACAAATCCTACTAATTAGGTAAGTGTTTGTACAGTGCTCTGAGAATGCAAGGGGCCATCTATATGTAATACATTAATGTTTGTGAATAGAAGAATAAATGTTCATTTTTGTCTGGATTGAACAATTTTCTCTAGTCAAAATTCTGAGAATCAGTTTCTAATTTAAGGGGTCTGGTACATGCGAGCCTGCTTTCTGAAAACTATCCTCAGGACCCTTGTAGCAGAAGTAAGTAATACTTAATCACTTGTCATCCAAATATTCATCAGTTGCCATCAAAGCTTGGTGTTTCATAAATAAATTTCATGAAGTTTGGTATTTCTTGACACAACTTCTCAAGAGAAAAATAGATTTTTTGCTAAGGAAGAGGAACTAATGCTAGATTCCAACAAGCTTTGTTTTCATTAAAAACTGTGTTTCAGAAAAGGAAGAATACAGAAGTTTCCATTTGGGAGAAGAGTAGGGAGCACGTGTTTGCACATTTCTCATGGATTTTTGTCATCTCTGCTGTAAGTATATTTTATTACTACTGTGGGAATACAGCAAATTGCCAATTCCCTGAACAAGGGGCTGTGTAAATTCCAGCTATGAACATATGACCAATCCTTGTATAATCAAAAGCAACTTTTCTGCCATGGGTGCATTTGCACAAGTTCTTGCCAAAAAAAAAAAGAATCATCCTTATATCCTTACAAAATCCACATTAATTCTCAATTTGGTTTGAACTGGTATCACATATATGCCCCTATTGCATGCACACAATAACTGAACGTCTGTAGCTATTTTACTATTCATACACGACTTCTGGTAGCTTGAGTGTTCCACTCAAATATTAATGATTTAGATATCACAGCATTTGTAAGAACTAGAACAATATATTTCCATGTGTTCACATAAAGACTTAAAGCTTTGGTTCTGGTGCAGGATTATATGGCCCAATTTAGAGGAGTGTGCAAACGTTGTTTTAAGTCCTGCAGCTACAGTGTGCTTGGCTTGATCCCCAGAATAAATTAGGAAAACAATGAATGCCACTGTAAATTAAATTAGTTGGTAGTAGTCCCAAGAGGCCACTATGGCAGCTGAGGATTATCTAAGACAATGATAAATCTAATGCTCCCCTTTCCCAGACCTCCTCACCCTAGTACAGAGTACTTGCTATAGAAGTAATTTCACCAACCTCATTAGAGGATACCCCAGTCTTGGGGTAACTGTCAGGGACTGATATACTGCTAGCCCTTTTCTAAGTAGGTCAAAAGCAAGGGCGACTATAGACTGGGAAAACTGAGGCAGAGAGACTTGATGTGACTAGCCAAAAGTCACATGAGAACTTTGTGGCAGAGGCACAAGTAGAATCCAGATCTCTGATTCTGTCTTGTAACTTCATTTGAGAGAGTTCTCTATAATCCCATTGACTTTAAAGGTCTCTCTGGGGGATAAATCATCTTGAAGTCTGACCCACTTTATCAGGAAAATTATTCAATTCCTGCATATTTAGAAAGTGACACCCTTCGAAGATGAAGTGTTTGTAATTACTCAGACTCAACATAAGCCACTTCTCACAGCTGTTAATGACATTCCTCTGAATCCCTGTCATCTCATTACTCAATCTGCCACTAAGAACTGTAAAGCTTTTTAAGGCTTTCCCAGGATCTTGTATACAACAGCTTGAGTAACCAACATGGTGCTTTTTGTTTTTCTTTCTGCTTGTAAACACAGGGACTAAGAATAAGCATGGCACTTCCATCTTTTCACTGGCAAACACTGATATCGTGATCCCATGATAAATATTCCTTGTACCCCAGGGAATAGCCAGACTTTTTTCACAGCACAAGATTTTCCTGGAAACATTTAACTCGGTTCATAAATAAATAAAAAATTTCCCATGGAAGTTTATTCAACTGCTATTCAAGGAACATTAACTCATATAATTGCATCTTTCCAGTACTGTACTCCTTATTCATGTAAACACTGTTCTTATTTTATGTTATGCAAAGTCCAAATATTATCATAATGAAAAACCTAAGCCAATAGTGAGATTGCAATATGACTGAGGATCATTTCCCTGGCAAATATACATTTTTAGAGTAATGGAAGAGAATTTTTCAGGAGTAACTTATTTTCTTGTTTATATACTGACTATTATGAAACTGGCAGGCTTTTACATTACTGTTAACAATCACATAAGTTCACACCCCTGTTCTGGATTTGGAGTACATATTCTGACATAGCTAAATACAACACGGGAAGTGTTCTGTGGAAGTGTGTCCTCTAGATGGAAGTATTTCAGCCAGCGTACATTAGTGTCTCTCTCTAACATCACCCTTTAGCTGCTACCTGAGAACACTATCACTGCTAAAAATGTGTGCGCATGTTAAATTTAACTGCAAAAGCAGTTGTACTGAAGGCAGCAGGACTGTTTAACATCTTAAAGTTAAGCATCTGCTTTACTGTATGCATTTGCATGGATTTAACTTTTAGAAGCTAGCATCTAAAAGTTAGCATGAAATCTATACAAAGATAAAGTGTAAAGATTTCAAATTGTAGACAAGTGCCCTACCTCAAATGGAATGTGAAGGATGTTTGTGTAAACAACAACGACAATGATAATGTACATTTTGAAGTATTGTCTGTGGTATCCATAGGAATGGCACAGAGCAGTTAAAAGATGAATATCATGTGTTTAAAGTGAGCAATATTTGGAAAATGAAAAACCTCTAAGTAATAAATGAATTATCTCACTTTTCTCACCATGCAATCCAAACATGCACAGCCTGGTCTACATCACAGCCACTAATTCCTTCTTGACCAGTCCCTAATCTTTTGTAATAGCCAATTTATAAAAAATGAAATCAAAGCTCCTATGGCAAATATACAGCCCACAATGCAACTATACTGCATTTGGTCTTCACCACAGCATCCATACAAAGTTTTGAGAAGAAAAAAATGGTTAACTGGCTGAAGTGCCAAGGTAAGGACTACAGTAGAAAACAATGTTATTTTGCTCCTAATGAGCCACCAGCTTCTATTATAGCACATTTTGCACAGGTAGTGTTGGACTGCATATTGACCATAAAAGTGGGTCTATTAGTCTTAGCACTTTAATAATTTGGGGATCCCCAGAAATGCCAATAAGAATCATGAAGAGGTTCCAGATGTTTCTGGTTACCTTATCACTCTGCTTCCAATTTGTAGAGACTTAAATTGCCAATAATTAAAAAAGGTTTTGATGCTGAGGACAATTGGCTGGTGGGGAGAGGGACTTGCAGTTGCAGAGTACAAAGGGCAAAACTTTCATACTTTTAATTAAATAAATTGGTTTTGTATAGTGAAGTAGCAATATAAAAACACTAGGTGCATAGAGAAATAATTTGAAAGTTTAAAAACAAATGTACAATTTATTCTTGGGTCTATTAAATGCTGTCAAGCACAGTGAATTGCTTGTTTGTAGCCTGATATAAAGTGCAACAGGTACATAACAAGTGCTTTTGGGATATCTTTGTAATTTTGTGGCATTAATCACTCCTTTGTATTACATTCCTAAGAAGATATACAGACGTGTTACTCTATCACTTCCTTTTTAGGCTAGAAACCATTACTTAATTCATACTAAAAGAACTGTATTTGCTTTAGTAATTTACTTTTCTATAAATATCTACGAACCCTGAGCCTAAAAACTCTTTTGCAGAAGCTTAATCTTATGTGCTAGTAGCTGCATAAAGTCAGCTGGGCTACCTGCATGTATAATGTTCAGCCTTTACATAAAAGTGCACACCCTCAGAATGATCATATTAGTTTGGCATGTTGGGTGATCTTGAGGATTCCTTTTCTCCTCTGTGCTTATGGGAAATGTATACACTGCATATTATTTTTACTTTGCTGTAGCTGAAAGACATTGTCATTAAAAGGTTACAGTTACTCCTTCTGATCTTCTCTCGCATTGCAGTGCGCTTCAAATGCTGGCTCACCATAGCAAGCACAACGTCTTCATAGCAGTTGTAGTTTAAGAGTACCCTCTATTGGTTTAAAATGAAAGCTGTGAAAGTCTGCAGAGTGACATACTGAAACAACACATTATAAACTGTTTATAATTCTATATGGCTTTCAGCTGTAAATCTCTGTATGGGAAAAACAGCTGTGAAATAATATTTGCCATGCACAAAAAGCAAGGGAGTGACTGCAGCCACATTAGACAGCTCCTGCTAAAATTTTTCTTCCTTCCTTAACAAGAGCTCCAATGTTATAATTCTGTTTGAATGCTTATTTTGTCAACTGCTTTTTCAAATGCCATCTGTGTATATAACTTCAGCACAAAATCAGATATATCTAGGAGGCATTTTCTGTTCATCTTAAGTTTGAACACTGTGCAATGAATGGATTTTTCTCCCTGAAATCTGGAACACCATCTGTTTTTATCTATTTATTTCTATTTATTTTTCCTGACTTTATAGATTCATAGATACTAGGGTTGGAAGGGACCTCAGCAGATTATCAAGTCCAACCCCCTGCATAAGTCAACTGATCACTTTTCTCACTTCCCTATCTCATACAAAAATGCAATCTTAAGTTGTAGTTTTGAAAGAATTTGTAGAGCACATTGGCTTGTGAAGGAAGTAATGGAGATAGCCTTGCTTAATATTATGACATACAGAGCTGGGAAGAGGTGTTTATTATCCCTCAGATCTGTAAATCCTCCATTAAAAAGTATTCTCATATGTAAGTAAAATGGAATTGAAACATTCAAGTTGGTTGCTGCACTTTATATTCTCTAAACTGGATGCTGCTGACTAGCTGTCTAGTTTTAGTTTCCTAGGTTGAGGCCCTGGTGGATGTACACAGTTCTGATAGATTACTGTGCATAACAGAGCCCACAACACCCTTGTTCTGGCAGCTTCAGTACTTACTCGGTAACCACCTGGCTTTCAAGGGAAATGGTATTTGTACTTTCTTTGTTCAAATTCTGGAGCAAGGAAGGCCTAATTAAGGCCCCCATGGAGCCTTAAATCAGAAAATCACAAGGTTTTCCTCAACCAACCACATTTAAAAAAATAATACAGAGAGGAGAGGCTGGAGTCACATGAGTGTATAAGAATTTAAGATACTCTATACTTTTATTTGACACTGACGCTGTTGGACACTGTCATTTGAAGGACGCAAAGTTAGCAACCTTTGTTTTGCCAATGACATTGATCTAATAGCTGGAACTGTAAAAGAGCTTAAGGAAATAACAGAAAGGCTGCATAAAGCTACAGAGATAGGGAATGGTAATTAAGGCAGAGGAGAGCAAAGTAATGATAGCTTCAGCCAATAGAAATGATGATGTCTCAGTAAAAAATAGTAATGAGAAACTAGAAAAAGTAACACACTTTAAATACCTCGGAGCAACCATGACAGAAGTATAGGTTTTCTGTATAAAGACAATAATCATTGCTATTGGACAGCTAGCAAAGCTAAAGGACGTCTGGACTAGCAGCAACATCACAATGGAAACAAAACACCACCTACTATATGCTGTTGTCATTTCAACAACTCTTTATGGCTGCGAGAACCAAACACTCACTAGGGCACTGGAAAAGGGAACTGAGACCTTTGAAATGTGGTGCTTCCCAAGACTTACATACCCTACACTGCACATAGAACAAACGAATCTGTGAAAGATCAAATGGGACAAAAAGTTGGCAGATATAAACCCTTATTTGAAATCATAAGAAGAAAGATACAGTGGTTTGGACATGTAACAAGAAGGCCCGGCACCCTTACCAACACCATCCTGCAGGGTGCTGTGGATGGACAAAGAAGAGGAAGACGTAGGACAAGCTGGACCATCAACATCAAAGACTGGATGGGATTAAAACTGATTGTACAAAGATAGCAAAAGACTGGGAATAACGGAGGAAAGTTAAGGCTATATCAAAGGTGCCCCAACAGTTAGTGTCGCCTCGGGACTGACTGTTAATAATTTTATTTAAATTTAGAGGTCTCATAATTGCAAGGCTTGAAAATGTGATACTGCCTTCCAAAGTTCAAAACACCTGTAGACAAGCTAAGAAAACTCAAATGTATTTATTTAGTCTCATGATTTTAGGTCAATCATGATTTTCAGTATCTATTTAATAGATTTTATGAAGGTTTAGGGTTGGTAACACTAGCATTTACATCACTGTAACAGAAAAGGTGAAAAACATGCCAGAAGATACCTAGCTGAAACAGTGTAATATAAACTACAGCGGAGTTTATTTATTAGATTTATAAAAACATAGAAAAGTTGGAAGGACCTTAGGAAATCATCTCATCTAAACCCCTGCCCAAGGCAGGACCATCCCTGACTAAACCATGCCATTTAAACTTTTTCTCTCTGGCTCTTAGAAATATTCAAGGTTGGAGATTCTACAACCTCTTTGGGTCATCTAGTTCAATTCTTAACTGCTCTTATAGTGCAAAAATTCTTCCTAATATCCAACATAGATTTTCCTCTGCAATTCAAGACCACTGCTACTGGTTCTGTCACCTGCAACCACAGAGAATAATCTCTCTCTATCCTTCACATAATTACTCTTTTAGGTATTTGAGAACTGTTATCGCATCTTTCCTCAGTCTTGTCTTCTCCAGACTAAATAATTCTAGTTCTTTCAGCTGTTTCTCATAGGTCACATTTCCCAGGTGGCTAATCATTTTTGTCACTTTGAAGAATTTAATTTGTTCACATCTTTCTTGAAGTGTAGGGTTCAAAGCAGGACATGGTAGTCGAGGCAAGGCCTATAGTGCTGCCATTCCTAAAGAAAGGCTACTTAAAATGTGGTTTAAGAAGTTTCCTTTGCACAAGAAATTTGCCGCTGAGTAAGACCTTTCTCTGACAGAAGCGTGTGGTGTGCTGAGTGCAGTTACACAGTGGCCGCTTCATGTCCCCACTACTTGGAGGTAAAGAAGATCTAACACAGGGGCTTTCAACCTTGTTTGGCCTGTGTACCCTTGGTGGCTGGGGCCAGGGGAAGAGCCCCAGCAACCAAACCGGAAGTGTCAGCAGCACATGGTGACAAAACCAGAAGTTCCAGTGCTGAAAGGGGCACTAAGTGCTGCCACATACCCCCTGGGGCCTTCCCAACTACCCCCAGGGGTATGCATAACCCCGGTTGACAACCCCTGATCTAACAGAAGAAAAGTAGACATGCTCAAGGAGTAGTAGATGGGAGAGTATTTGGGCACAGGGGCACTCTGATTCTGTGAAGAAAGCAGTGGACCAGGCATCAGGAGAGCTGGATTCCTTGCCTTACTTTGCTACTGACCGGCTGTATGATCATGACTGAATCACTTCACTTTTCTGAATCTCTTCCCTGCCCTCATTTTATGTGCATTAGAATTGTAGAAGCTCTTTGAAACATAGGATCGTCTCTTACTGTGCTTGTACTGTACACAGAGCAATAGGGCCAAATTCTACTTAAAGGCTTGCTAGTCTGTCATTCTTGACCTCTAAAAATATATTTATTTAAGCTTTTTATCTTTCGGGAAAAAAAACCCCAAACCACCCCCAAACTAACCCTGATTAACCAAACCCACTCCAAAAATGTCTATTCTGATACCCTCCATAAGAGAAATACCCACCATAGTTTGTATACTTCCAGGAGCAGGAAATATAATCCTTGTTTATACAGTAGGCAAGCATAATGATGCTTTGATTCTTGACTGGATTTCTAGTCAGCATTATCAAAATAATGTGAGAAAATAAATATGAAGTTCTATTTGTATTACCGATACAAGATTAACATGCTTTATGAGATCATCCCATCTCCCAAAAAGTGCAGAGGATTAAATATTGTCTTACTGTTTTCCTTGTTCTACCCAGTCTGTTAGCGTTCACTGTCTTTGTGGCCTGTAAGCTCTTTAGCCCAAGGACTATCTTCTTCTGTTCTTCTTTTGTTCAATGTTTAATACAGTAGCTCCTGTTCTATGACTGGGACAGTCGGGCCCTTCCAGCCCTAATGTCTATGAAATCTATGAAATGGTAAATTTACATTACACAATCTACGTAAAAACAGTATGGACATCACCTGCAAGACAAACCTACATCTAGGCACACCGTTGCAAACTTGTCTTTACTGAACTTGTAGAGCAATGCTGATGAAGTAGCCCTCAAAGGCAATTATTTTGGGTGATGGATCAAATTCCTTTTCATTTGTGGACTAATACAAAATTCAGCTTGTACTAGCTTCACAGATTTCATAGACATTAGGGCTTGAAGGGACCTTGCCAGATGATCAGGTCCAGCCTCTTGCCCAAAGGGCAGGAAGTCAGCTGGGGTCAGATGGCCCCAGCAAGATAAGCATCCAAATAGTTCTTGAAGGTATCCAAGGTAGATGAATTATATACTGTATATTACCATTATACCCAACTGTCCCAGTCATAGGATAGGAGTTACTGTATTAAACACTGAACAAAAGGAGAACAGAAAAAGATAGTCCTTGGGCTAATGAGCTTACAGGCCATAAGGACAGTGAACAATAACATACTGGAGAGGACAAGGGAAACAGTGAGACAATATTAGTCAGCAAAACAGACCAGAGCATCAGCTTATCAACATCCAAATCATTGTGGTTTGTTAAATGTGTGTGGTTAAGGCATGTTAGCAAAGAGTTTTAAGGAAGGATATGAAGGGAAACAGTGGAGTAATTTTGCAGATGCTTCTCAGGGGCTGTTAAAGCCTGGTTGGAAAAGCTGACAAGGAGACTGTCATCTCAGCTAAGTACAGATATAAAAAGCCTGTGCCTGAATTGATTCAATTTGTGCAAGTTAGTCTAACCTGCATAGATTGAACCTGCAAGCAAGTGAAGACATTCATTTTGATTCCAGAAATGCAGCCATTTCTGCAGAGGCCCAGGCCGGAAGCTGGGGGGCACTAGAGCAAGCCCTCCCTTCCTTTCTGCAGTGGCCAAAGGCTGGAGAGAAGCTGAGGGGGGGTGGGGGGAGTGGGGAACACAAGGGGAAGGGACCTGGCCAGGCGCCCAGCTAGCACTGAAGGGTTCAGCAGTGAGAGCAGGTCTCGGGCCTGAGGCAAGGGGGCGCATGGGGAGAAGGGAAGGGGAAATCACAGAGAAGCAGGGCTGGCAGGGACCTCCAGTTGTCCTGTAGTGCAGGGTTGTGCAATTATTTCGGCTGGAGGGCTGCTTAACTAGGTTGGGTGAGCTATTGAGGGCCACAAGGGTAGCCCGCTCCTTTACAGGTGCCCTGCCCCACTTGCCACCTTGGGGCTGGAAGCCCCACCCCCTAACCCCCAACCTTTGCCACCAGAAGTCCTTCCCTTGCCCCAGAAGTACTCCTTTTGGGAGGGAGGGTGCTGCCATCTTGAAACAGGAAAAAAACCTTATACAGTAGACCTCTGTTTTATGTATATTCAACTTACCCGTGTCTCACGTTTACATGAATTAATATTAACACCCAAACAGAAAAATACATCCCCAGACATGCCTTGCGAGATGCGCAGACTGAGTCAAATGGAGTTGCATGCAGCTTGGACTCCCAAGCAGGATTCTGGAGGCTCGCTCTGGCTCAGTATCACTGTTGTGGTAGCAGCTTCTCCTCTTAATGCTCTGAGTTAAAAGCTCTCAACCCCTTAGACTTCACCCACAACTTGTCTCAGGCCGTCCACCTTCATTTGAGAGATATCACTGCCATCTTTTGATGTGTTTGACCTGGATGAAGACTCAGCTCCCCTTCCGAGTCCCCTGGCTTCCCCTGGACTTGGCTCCCCCTGGATGAAGACTCAGATGGACTGAACATTGTTGTATGTCTATTTTGTATTTTTTGGGTGCATTTCTTATAATGCAACTGAATAAATAAATTTAAAATATGTTTCTGTAACATAATACATGTGTTGGTTGAAAAAAGTTTTATTTTGGTACCTTTGGTGTCATAAATGCGAGGTCTAAGGAACGCAACCCCTTGCTTTTCTATTTTTTCTATGGGAAAATTCACCTCGAATCACACAAATTCAACATACATGAGGTTTCTCAGGAACACAATATACATGTAAATCGGGAGTCTACTATAATATACTACAAGAATCAAACATCTACAACTTATTTTAAAAAATATATATTTTTGTCCTGATTTATATGCATTTACATAGTGTATCTAGAGGTGATTACATAATAGCTCAAAGTACAGTCTTACTTTTGTATATTGTGTGGGGGCAAGGGGGTGTATGTGTATGGTGGGGTGTGGAGTGTGTTTGTGCAGTGGGGCTATGGTGGGTGCACTAGGTATGGAGGGGTGTGGTTGTGGAACTTGTGGCTGGGGTGGGGGCTGTGGGACGGTGCTGGGTGTGTGCGTGGGTATGGTGGAGGGATGGGAGTGTGTTGGGGGGGGCCATGGGTGTGTGGGTGTGTGTGGGACTATGGTGGGTGGGTGTGTGTGTGTGTGGGGGGGGGCAGAAGTCCTTGGAGTCACTGGAGTGAACCAGTCCCTGGATCTGCACATGGTGGCAGCCAACAGGGTCAGTCCCATCCGGCCTGATAGCAGCTCTCGTGCTCCCCTCCCCCCGAGTCCTCAGCCACACATGGTGGCAGGCATGGAGCCAGCCTGGCCCCACAGCACACAGCCCCCTGAGCTCCTGCCCCTTTCCCTCAGTGGGAGTCACCAGCCACAGCCCAGTGGGCCTCTTACCTGAATCCCCACTCTTGCAGGCAGGGAGGCTGGAAACAGCCATGGAGTCACCAGCAAAAGCCTGTGCCACGAAGAAGCTTCTCATCTCTAGCACCCCCTAGCACAGGACTGGGGCAGGGCTGTCGTGGCTCTGGTTGCTTAACAACCAGAGCCACGACAGCTTGCAGAGGCTGCCCAGGGCTCGGCTTGCAGAGGGCTTAGGGAGGGGCCCTGGATGGAATTGCCTGGCAGGCCAGATCCAGCCCATGGGCCATATTTTGCCCGCACCTGCTCTAGTGTCTAGTCTGTAATGATCTGGGTCCCACACTGAATAATAACAACTATGAATGAGGAAGAGAATAGACCTTTAATGATACCACAGAATGGGCTTCCTCTAGCACAGACCATGTGGCTGCCTCCATCTTGATTTCTCTTTACTCCCCAGGGATCATGTTCAAATTCGTCACATGATAAGACATCCCTTTGTAAGGGACTGTCTCCAAAGTCTAACCCTTGTCACTACATAGTCCACCCCCTGCCTGGGCCCTGGCCAGACCCTCTGGTACAAGCTGTGCTTGCGGCGCCCACAACTGAGAACACCTGCTAGGAGGGATCTGTACTGCTGGGGATAAAAGCCACTAAGGGCTTGCTGCAGCCAGTTTTCTCCCCCTACCCCACATTGCATCAATAGGAAAAGCTGCATCTTAAGACTGAGGCCTTCCATCTAAGGACTGCTCACCACTCCTTTAACGAACAGGTAAGGTGTGATTATGACATGAATCAGAGTGGCATTAATTTGCACACTAGACCAAAAGTGCTGCTCCACCTGTGCTGACATTTTCTTTACATTAGCAAATTAGGGCAGACCCACAAAAATAATCTCGATACTGCAATGACTGCAGCTGAGACCTTCCAGGCAGCTTGTTACACAGGCTACTCAAGTACAAAGCACCTAAGATTCCTAGAAAGGTTTAGCTAAGAATGGGATCAAATTAAGTAAGCTGAGCGGGGAATGGCCTCAAGCAATAAAGTTAAGGGTAGGGTGCCTAGGGACCTTAGTGTCTCTTTGCACTTGGGATTCACAGGCAGGAAGTATCTCCTGGAATTAAGTGCCTAACTGAAACCTTTCTTGTATAATATAGGGAGTGCTGATAGTAGCCTGGTCTTTTTGTTTGGTAATGCAAGGTGCAACACAGTAATATTGGAGTGCTGCTACACACTGGTGGGGGTGGGGGAAGAGGCAGTAATTTTTGTCCCAGGCACAGACATTTTTAGAAATCCAGAGTGGCTGCTTTTGCTTGTAAATGGACTAGAAATGGCTTTTTCATAAAAAGGAAGAATAGAAAGTTTTATGTTGAACTTGCTTAAAACTGCAGAAATAAAACTAAAACCCAGCAATGACCTTGAATCTGCCAACCACAAAAGATACTATGGCATCAAATACAGAGAGTCTGAATTTGTCCTGAGTCTGAAAATTCATGTAGGCTGCACTGCTTGGCAGAAGACCTAAAGGGGGTTCAAGGTCACATCTCCCATTTCTCAGAAGAGTGTTCTTATTCCCTGAATACAGAGTGTGTGGGAACTCTCCTCCCCCCCAAACTTCTGCTGAAGCCAAGTACAGGGGGAGAGAGTTGTTAGGCTAGGGAGAAAACATAACTTTAGCCCAGTAGTGAGGGCATTTTTCTTTTCTGGTCGCCATACCCAGGACTCAGTAAAGTGACAGTTTGAATGGGAGGAGTAGGAAGTGCTTCTACCAGAGAACAACCTGTAACCCAGTTGCAAGGATACGTACTGTAGGAAGTTATGGCACAATCCTGGGCCAATGGGGGGGCGGGGGAGGCAAGTCCCCCCAGGTTGAGAAGAGCATATAATCCAGGTCTTTTACATCAGGCTCTACTTGTCAAGCTACTGAAACAGAAAAACATAGCACTTCTTCCTCCAATCACATTTTTAAGACTTAACCTGATCCTTTTTAAAAAAGTGTGCATAAGAGGTTCCTAAATCCAGGAGAGAGGCCTGGGGGCTGGCCCATTACAGGTATCTTCTGCAGACCAAAACTCAGTGTTTAATTCTTTGA